ATTCCCCAGCCAGCGAATGCTGGCTGGGGAATTCTGGGAGTTGAAGTCCGGACATCTTCAAGTTGCCAAGGTTGAGAAACACTGGTCTAGAGTTTGACCAAATGACTGTGGACAATAGTCATAAGTGCAAAAAAAACCAAAAACGGTCATAAGTCACTTTTTTTTTGGTGCTGCTGAAAATTTGAGCAGATTGTTAAGTCGAGGTCTACCTGTATTTCTACACTTATTATCTTGATGTTCGTAGGAATGTTTCGAGTGTCAGGGTTTTTATTATTATATTTACCATTCTTCCATCATGGTGGTGAGGCTTGATTTATTTCAAAAGTGCTTCTTCTAAATGGGTGCTATGATTTTGGTATGAGAATGATCCTGCTTTGATCCTCTAGAATTGATTTATTTCCTCTCCCACTGCTTTTGCTCCGTAAGGCATTTAAATTCCTTCAGGCCCCTTTAAAGAGCTGTATCAAATATTGCTTTGATCAGGTTCAAACACAGCTGGAATTCCATTCCTGTTATGTATGGGTGAGAATCCTCACCTGGTCGACTAGCATATGAAGAGAAGTGGACTTAACTTTCCTGAACCTCAGGCCTTCAAGGATAACTTTTAAAAAGTCACATCCTTCTTAAATACAGCTTGACTCCGGGTAATTGTCAATGTTCATATAAAACACTTGGCAGAAATACAGAAGTGGTTTTACCTGTCTGGATTTGGTCTCCCAACTCCCCCATCTAACCTTGAGATTTCTCAAACATCTGCCATCCAAGTCTTAACCAGGTCTGACTCTGCTTAGCTTTGGGGCTGTTAAGAACAGCTGCAAAATACCACCGGATCTAGTATCCTGCATCCTTTAATCTCGCTTTAAAGTTTAGCTGGCTTTTATTAATTCGTAATTCGTAATTTAATGAGCTTGTATGCCGCCCAATCCCGGAGGACTCCGGGCGGCTTACAAAATACGAGACAAAATAAAATAACAAATAGGGGAGAAAGACAAAAACAGTTTAAAAAACACAANTCAAGGTGAGATTTTTATGGAATTCCCATGTTATAGTGAGATTATAGAAAATCTTCCATACTGTGTTGCTTCAGAGATGAAAAGAACAAATATCTTATGAATTTCTGAGTGATTAGATTTTGGTGGATGTCTCTGCTGATCAAAGAAAAAAATGATACTATGATGGGTAAATATAGATTTGGATTATAAAAAAATTCAAATTATCAATTTGGGACAATTTATTCATTGAACATTAAAGGTCACTTGTCAAATGGGCAGCTACATATTATAAATTAGATTGAACAAATACACACAAAAATGTATATTCAGGCAATGGAGATTTGATAATGCTGTTTTTTATTAAAACAAATAGCACTAGGTTAGTAGATTTTTTCCCCTTAGTTAAAATGAAATAATGAGAAGATATTCAAGTCTAAAAAGAGAAATAGCCTCAAATCTAACCATATGTGCCTTTTGTCTCATCCTCATATTTATGAAATATATAATATTTACATCTTCTTTTATTATAGGGTGTGAGGTAACTCCTGACGTCAACATATCCGGTCAGAAATTTAACATAAAGCTTCTAATTCCTGTTGCTGAAGGCATGAATGAAATTTGGCTCCGTTGTGATAATGTAAGTTTATATCAAATGCCAACCAAAGTCAATTGGATGTAGCTGATTATACATCAAGAACTGAAGTGTGCATCAATTCTTTCCTAGAATCCACAGATATCTGAAACTAGCCTTGTATAGAATATTACGGTTAAGAAGAATATAAGCAGGACCAGTAATACAATAGTTGCTTTTCTTTATAGCAAACTCACCTTAATTCTTCTTAATCTTGATATGAAGCAATTTGAGGTGAAGTATCATCATCAGTAAGATGATGAAATCCAATTGTTTACTATATCCCTGCCAAGTGATGCAGTGGACATATTGAAGGCTGGAGGCTATGAGAGATTGGATGGAACAGGCTCCGATTGAAGCCCAGATAGATGGACCCACAGTTTCTGCAGTCTGTTCCAGGCAGTTCAGATTTCAGTTTGAGGTGAGATGGCACTTTCCTGAAGGAGCAAGTATGCAGTCTGGATATCCTGGACTTGCCGTATTTATTTTATCAGCAGGTAAAGGTTCTAGCCAATGTTGTCTGATCTGCCAATTATGACCTTTCCTTGACACTGACTGCAGTCTTTTTTATTTTGCTCTGCTTACCAAGACTAACTGGTACAGCAGAGTGACCTCTACATTGCAGGAGGCTACACTGTTTGCCACTTTGCTTCCTGGCAAAATTCAAGGTATTGATAATCCCCTACAAAGTCCTTTATGGTTCAGGCCCTTGTTACCTTCAAAGCCATAAGCCACATGCAAGCTCAGACAAGTCCTGATCTCCCAGGAGGAAAGGAGAAGGCTAACCTTTTCGGCTATGGTCATCTGTTCAAAATCAGTTTGCCTCCAAAGGAAAGGATACCCCCTGCTATCTTTCCAAAAGGCAATTAAGATACCATTAGTTAAATGAATATTTGTATGTCATTCTTTGATCCCACATGCCCAGAATAAAGCAGACTTTAGATCAGCCTCCTTCAGAAGGTCATGTTAGAGAATACATATCCTGGACTCAAAGCATATAGTATTGAAAGGTGACAACCAGCATTGTATGCCATGAAAGATCCTGTGATGTAATACTTCATGTATCCCCATGTTTTCCCCAACAAAAGTCCACAATGGAAAGCAGAAATACAGGACTGGGATTACAGAGCGAAAGGACTGGTGGGAATTGAATGTTTTTATGATCACATGGCACAACATATTGTTTGGGTTTTGTAGCTCCCTAGCAGTTTTCACTTTTTGAAAGAATATTGCGCAAAAAATACAAAATGTTCATATTGAACTGTAATTTGTGCCCATGTAAGGATGGCTATGAACCATGAATTTTATCACTTGATTCTAAGTGCACGTGAACCCCAAATCTGCAATACTAATCAAAATGTTTGATTGCTGAACGAAAGTTGTGTTTTTACTATTTTTTCTTTGTTCACATNAACCGGGGCTTCAGAGTTTGAACCGACCAGAATGAACAAAGTTGCTTCCTGCAAAGGCTCACGTCCATTTGCTCCTCTTTTATGTCTTATGGGAGAGGCCAATCATCTCCAAGCCTTACTCCCGAGTCGCCCCTTTTGTCTTAACTGTTCTTGCCTTCTGGCAGCTTTGTCCATGCGCACACTGGGAACAGGCTCACACTGTTCTTCTGCCTCGCTGATGTCAGACTCTGGAGGCAGCACATCCACTCCCAGATGGCCTTGGCCCCCTCTCTGCCTCCGACGCACAGCCCTCATCTGAGCCTTCCCCAGACTTTAAGTTTTAATTAACACCATATATTTAGAAAAAAATTGCTTTGCTGTTTAATACATTTCCTAGTAACTCATAGACATATATTAAAATCAAGCTAAATGATTTGGCTGAATTTTCAATCTTAAAAGAAACACAGAATGGGTTAGAAGAGTGTTTCTAAAGCTCAGCAACTTTAAGATATATGAACTTCAATTCCCAGAATTCCCAGATGGCGTTCTTTAAGTGCATACATCTTAAAAGTTGCTGAGTCTGAGAAACACCGGGCTACAAAATATCTTGGAGATAATCTGTTCCAATCCCTTACGAGCAGATGAATCCACAGCATCTCTGATAGGCCACCATCCAGCCTCTACTTAAAGTCCACCTCCCCCCCCAACAAAGGAGAAACCATCACCTCCTTATATAGTCTGTCCATTGTCAAATGCTTCTTACTATTAGGAAATACTTCCTGATGTTCAACCAAAATCTACTTGCTTTTTCATTTAAACCCATTATTTTTTCATCTGGTCTGAAAAAATTCAGAATAATTCTGCTCTGATCCTCCCAACAGCCCTTCTTTTTTGCTTTAAGCTGATTCACAAAACAATTCCATATACTGTACAAGACAGTCCTTCGGGGTTCTTTAACATGAAGGACAAAACTGTCATGTGCCAGGTGACTTTCCTGCTCTGAAATATTCATATATGTTTCAGGTATGAGAATTATACTTTACCGAATTGGTAAAAATCAATGTTTGGGAAGGAGGGGAATCAAACTACTCAATGAAAAATCAGTGATAAAAGGCAATATACTAGACTACAGTTTTTTCCTCTCTCTTCCAAATGCAAATTTGTTGACAAAGTCTTAAGGAATCCTTCTTCTCCAGCTTGTTTCCTACTCATGGAATAACTCATTGTGAGAAGATTTGCTTGTATTCAGTAGCAGAGTGTCCAGTCCATTATTTTATTTAATTTTCACATTTTTGAATTGCCCATTTGCTACAGAGAGGGACATTAAGCACCATTAAATGCCAAAAATCATGTGAGTCTCATCCTGATATTATTCAAGTATCTTCAGCTATAAGATTTGACAATTTTGTAAGAGATTTGTGGAACGGGCAGGACTTCTGTGCTTTCAGGCAACCTGAAAAGATTGTGTCAAATGTGAACTTTGATCTTGGATCAAATATTTGAAGAATAAAATGAATAGTTCTCCCTGGGATTATTTTTCCCTCAGACTTCTTTATGATCTAATTCGCTAACTTGCTGACTGAAGTTATTTTAAGAACAATTATATGTTTTATTTATGACATGAAATTCTCATATCAATATGTGATACAGAACTTGAATTTTAAAAAAAGAAATGGAACCATCTGGCCAAAAGTAAAAATGTAATTAAATGTTACACCAATAGATTTAGCGTTAAAACAAAAACCTAGTGGAATAAGTGGACTGGGTTTAATTCAGCTCAGTTCGTAATAATCTCTTGAAAATAATCATGTTGTTGTCTTGAATACAATATTGCTAACAATATTGTCTTGAATACAATAAATTTCATTTCTTACCAAATGGTTTTACTGATTTTTATAGGTCCCTGCAAGGACCAATCCGAAGTGAGTGTGTGTGTGTGTGTGTCTATGCACATGCGTGGATATTTAATATGAAGTATTTATTTACCTCCTTTAAGAAAACCTAGGGGATTGTGCCAAGGCACTATTATTCCCGCAGATGCACGTGGCATGGGGAGGCAGTGTGATGGTATGAAGGAAATCTGCTTTTGTGGAATTTGTAGAATGCAGGGAACGTTCAGAAGCAAGAGACGATGTTGCTGCTTCCTGACTAGGAGTCCACTGATGTAAAAATATATGGAATAATAAAAGATGAGCCTTTTCAAATGTGCTCTGGCCTATTCTGAGCCAAGAAACTTCTCTACTGTTTCTACTATAATTTGAATGCAGGCAATCTTCAATCCATGACACACAATGGACCCCAAAATTTTTGTTGCTAAGTGAGTTTTGCCCCATTGAGTGACCTTTCTTGCCACAGCTGTTAAGTGAATCACTGCAGTTTTTAAAGTGAATTAACTGTATTTTTCGGNCCCTTAACCTAACGCTAAACCTAACGCTAACCCTTAACCTAACCCTAACCCTAACGCTTAACATAACCCTAAACCTAACCCTTAACCTAACCCTTACCCTAAACCTAACCCTTACCTTTATGTGAATCGGCTTACTGTAAAAGCGCTTTTTAAAGCGCCCCTATTTTTCCGCGGTCGTATTTGTCGCGCTGCTGATGACATCACGTACGCGCTTTAATCGGGCGCGCTTTAGTGGACCGCGGTTTTGACGGGTCACGCAGTAGTCAAGGGTGCCTTTTGGTTTGTATTTCAGCTAGGGACTACAGATCCATCCAGGGGTTATGGACAGCCTAGTTATTATCTCTGACTATTGTAGCACAATCTGGTTCGGATACCTTTGGACAAGGCTTGAAATCTTCATTTGTTATGGAACGTGACATCTCACATTTTTTTTCTGGAACATTATACTAATTTGTATTATCTATACTGGCTATCAGTACATTTTTGAGTTCAATTGAAAGTACTGGCTTTGGTCTTTGAATTTTGCCACAAATTACGTTAAGGATTTGTGCATCATTAGAGCTTTCCGATCACATTCTGAAGATGTGCTTATTGACTTAATTATTGAGGGTTCCAGAACTGAACCATATCTAAGAGGATTTCTCCATTTCAGGACACTTCGAAGAGGACTTTAAAAAAAAGTTAGCTCTTCCTTTTGGTAGAAACACAATTCTGGTCTTTGCTTTTGTAACCTTAAAACTTTAATTATGGTTGTTTTTTTTAAAAAGGGTGCATTTTTAATTTCTGAAACTACTTTGTGTTGTTTTCATATGGTAAGTCCTTTGAAAAGAGCATGGCCTTAATAAACAGCTAGTAAATATATTAAAAGAATGAAATGAATGCTATCAAAATGACATCTTGCTTCAGAGTTTTGAGCTATGAACTCACATTTCAACCATTATACAATGATTATTGATTATTTCCTTGCTGTTTTAGAGTTTTTATAATCCTATTGGGATAAGAATCCTTTATGGGTTACTGTGAATTCAGACACTATTTACATTGATTTTCCTACTGTGGTGTGAATAGGATCAAGTCAGAGGTGGGACCCTGGTTGCACTTTCAGTCTGGTATTTTGTTGATTTTTAATTACCTTCTGGTCATGGACCCATTGCTTACTTTTGTTCTGACCTAGGCTTCCTGAGAAAGTATAAATAACACACTTAGTC